AGGTTGTAGCATCTGCATATTGCAGGTTACTAATGAGTCTTCCTCCAGTCCTGATGCCATGCTCTTCTTCATATAATCCAGCCTCATAGATGATTTGCTCAGCATACAGGATGAATAAGGTGAAAGAATACAACCCTGATGCAGACCATTTGGCATCCCCTTGTTCCATTTGAAGGACTGTCTCTGGTCTCTGTACAGGTTCCTCATGAGCACAATGAAGTGTCCTGGAAGTCCCATTCTTCACGATGTATGTTCCTTACAGACCCGTCTATTATTTGGCTGAGAACTGAGCCATGGGATGAGTTCACTTCCCACCTGGAAGGATGGCAGGTGTTCCATCAGTGTTCCATCCGTCTCGGGTTTTCCATCCATCTCAGGTGTTCCATCTGCCTCCAGCCTGCAGGAAGCCTGGTATTGTTTATGATTCTGAGTTTCGTTCACCGTACTTTCCCACTCTGTCCAGGACCTTCCAATGTGATCACTTCCAGAGCAGGAGTGGTGTTAACTGGGCACCATCTAGTTGTCCTGCTCTCAGCATTGTGAATTTGTTTACTTTTCTTCAGCTTCCACTGGAACTTGCATATGAGCAATTGATGGTCTGGTTTGCAGATGTCCCCTGGCTTTGTTCTAATGATATTCATTATTCTATTGTTTCTTTCCACAGACATAGTTGATTTGATTCCTGTGTATTCTATTGGACAAGACTTGTTGTTGGTAATAAGTGCCATCAAGTGAGTTCCAACTCAATGACCCTGTACAATGTTTCCAAGGACCAGCTGGTGGGTTTAAACTGTCAACCTTGTGGTTCAAACCGACCTTGCAATCCAGTGTATTATCATGCAGCGCCACACCAGTTGCCATTTATGTTGTTGGAAAGGAATGTCTGACGAGTAAGTCATTAGTCTTATAAAATGATATCACGCAATGGTGTCATTTTGGTCACAGGCCATATGGTTCAACTACCAATGCTTCCTTTTGTTTCCAACTTTTACGTTTCAATTACCAATCATTTTCAATGCATCTTTGATCAGTTTCTGAAATCTTCCATTTCTTCATTTTTGACCTTAGGGATTTTTGTGTAAATTTGAATAATAGTCATACTAACTGGTCTTCCTTATAGGTATGGGGATATTACCCTATGACAGATAGCATTCCAGTTCAAGCTAGATCTTGAAATGTTCTGTTTGATGAGGATTGCGACATCATTCCTCTTCAATTGGTCATTTACGGCATGGCAGACCACATGATTGTCTGACTCAGAATGTCCAGCAATCAGTCCAGTTCAGCTCATGGATGCCTAGGGTACCCAGCCATGCATTCCTTTCCATTTCTGACAACTTCCAGTAGTACTAGATTCATACTTTGACATTTCACATCCCAATTATTAATGGATGTTTGCAATTGTTCTCATTTTGAGTTGTGCATCACGTCCGTCAATGAAGGTCCCAAGAGCGTTCCTCCATGCACAGCATTCAGAGTGACTCTACCTTGAGGAGGCAGCTCTTCCCCTCGTGTATTTTGAGTGTTTCCAACCTGAGGGCTCATCTTCCAGGACTACATCATACAATGCTCGGCCGATAGCCATAAGGTTTTCACTGACCAACTCTGAGATGTAAACTACCAGTTTTCTCTTCTAGTCTGTCTCATCTGGACGCTCCACTGAAACACGTCCACCACAAGTGACCCGAATGGTATTTGAAACACTAACAGCTCAGTGTTCGGCCTCAGGGCAATGCCACAGTACAACAGAGCTGCTGAATTCATGAATAAGCGTATGAATTTTGTCCTTGCTTTGGATTGGGTCTGAAGGACTATATGCTCAGAGCGAGGGTGACCCAAAGCTAGACAGACTTCCACAGAGATGATAGTTCAGCTTAAAATCACCTCAACTCCTGAATTTGGTGGGGTGCTTGCAGACTGTTAGTGTTATCTCCTTCAGCAGGGTGCATGGCGAAAGCACCTTGGTGAAGGAGATAATGCTTTTCTAGGACTCAAGTTATTTCTACAAATAAAACATCTGGAATTGGGAGACAGGGGATAACACAAATGAAAACCAACAGAAACCACAGGTTATAGAAGCAGACCCATAAGGGATCCCTACATTACAGTGAGCAGCTATGGACTTTAAAATAACTACATTTCCTTTACCCAAAGAGACAGAAAACTACACTGAGATTTCTGTCAGAGAGCTAGGATGTGGTTTTTTATTTTTTGTTTTTTGTTTTTAAAAGCCACATTTAATTCTGGATATGAAAAATAAAATAACCAATATTAAGAAAAAGTATATGGCATTAGCAATACATTAGATAAAGCTGGAGAGAGAATTAATAAACTGGAAGATGGGTCAGAAGAAACAGTAACAATAAAACCAAGACAAAGGGATGGAAAATACAGGAGAATAAAAGACTGTGGCAATTATAAGTGTGATCAAATAGTTGTTATCCCTCCACTATTAAAATAGGATTATACTTGCTGATCAACATAAGGTGGATGTTATTTGCTGTCGAGTTGGCTCTGACTCATAGAGAACCCGTGCACAACCCAATAAAACCCTGCCCGGTCCCGCGCCAGCCTCACAATTATTGCTACACTTGAGCCCATGGCTGCTGCCCTGTGTCAATCCATCTTGTTGGGGGTCTTCCTCTTTTTCACTGACCCTAACTTTACCAAACATGATGTCCTTTTCCAGGAACTGGTCCCTCTTGATAACATATCTGAAGTATGAGAGACAAAGTCTGGCCATCCTGGTTTCTAAGGAACATTCTGGCTGTACTTGCTCCAACACAGATTTGTTTCTTCTTCTGGTAGTTGATGGTACTTCTAATATTCTTCTCCAGCACAATAACTCAACTACATCAATTCTTCTACAGTCTTCCTTATTCACTGTCCAACTTTCACATGCATATAAGGCTATTTAAAATACCATAGTTTGGGTCAGGTGCACCTTAGTCCTCAAACTGACATCTTTGCTCTTGAACACTTTAAAGAGGTTTTGTGCAGCAGATTTGCCTGATGTAATACATCATTTGATTTTTTGACTGCTGCTTCCGTGAGAGTTGATTGTGGATCCAAGCAAAATTAAGTCTTTCACAACTTCAATCTTTTCTCCATTTATCATGATATTATTTAATAAGTAAATAAATACAGTTCTGAGGACTTTTGCTTTCTTAATATTGAGGTGCAATCCATACTGAAGGCTGTGCTCTTTGATCTTTATCAGTAAGTATTTTAAGTCTTCTTCACTTTTAGCAAGCAAGGTTGTATCATCTGCATATCACAGTTTGTCGATGAGTCTCCTTCTTCATATTAATCCAGCTTCTTGAACTAGTTAGCATGCACACTGAACAAGCATGGTGAAAGTATACAATTCTGACACACCCCTTCCTTTCCTGATTTTAAACCTCTGTGTAACCCTTTGTTCTGTTTGAACGACTGCCGCTTGGTCTAGGTACTAATCCCTCAGGAGAACAGTTCAGTGTTCTGGGTTACCCATTCTTTGCCACGTTATCCGGGGCTTGTCATGAACCACACAGTTGAATGCCTTTGCGTGGTCGGTAAAACACAAGCACATATCTTTCAGATAGTCTATGTTTTCAGCCAAGATCCATCTGAGGTCAGCAATGATAGCCCTCATTCCATGTCCCTTTCTGAACCCAGCATGCATTTCGGGCAGCTAATGTACTGCTGTAACCACTTTTGAACTATCGTCAGCAAAATTTTATTTATATGTAATATTGATATTGTTCAATGTTTCCATATTCTGTTGGGTCCCCTTTCTTTAGAATGGGCACAAACAAAGATCTCTTCCAGTCATCTGATCAGCTAGCTATCACATCTGTCTCCTCTCTCCCGAGGCTTTCTGGAATGCTCTCACCTGTGCCTGTCCTCCTGCCTCAAAGTTGCTTTCTCTCCCCCTCTCTTGCTGGCATCCCTCCTGCAAACCTTGGAGGACGTCACTCCGTCACTCCGCCTGAGTCCCCCCCACCTTTATACACCCTCTCTTTGCATGCTTCAGTGCAACTACATGCCCATGACCCCAATCTTGAAAGACACTGGACCCTGGCAGCTAAGTCCCCTTCAATGTCCCTGTGGCTGACCACTCTCATCCTCAGATGGCTGCAGAGCTTCCTCAACACCCCACGACGTCCCACCAGCAGCTTCCCCAGCTTCCACTCCTTCTCTGTACCCCTCTTTCTGCTGCAGCGCAGCATGGCTGGTTAAGAGGGGGTTCCCCCAGCACCCTACCACTTGACCTGCATAGGGGTCCAGGCCTTTGTCCTCCCTAGCCTTACTGTCCTTTGAGTGGGGCAAGAGCAGATGCAGCCAGAAGCCCTTTCAAGACCGTCTGTCCATTTAGGAGCCTACCCAAAGGTTCTGAACATGAAAAAACTGGGAGTTCTGCAGGGGTGACCCCCAGGAGAGGACAGACGCAGGGCAGGGAACCAAATCCTCAGGGTTACAGGTTTGGGTGGGCTACTGTGGTGGGGAGATACACAATGACCAAGATGGGAGCGGGTGGGGACCCCATTCATTTGATAGATGATTAAGGAAGGGCCCCACACACACTTCGGTCACCCTAGCCTGACAGAATCTAACCCACTGCCTCCTGCCTCCTCCCGCCTCCCTTGTGGCCAGACCCCCTGCCTCCAGCCTGGCCCAGGGTGCTCAAAACACCTACTGCCACCCCCCTGCCATTTCTAGCAGTCTCTGAGCAGGGAGAAGCTGCCACTTGCGTGGTCCCACAGGTCTTGGGCAGGTGGTGAGGGCCAGGTGGGTTCCTTGTGCAGCCCTCCCACCACCAGGAGCTGAGGGCCAGTCCTGAGAGGGCCAGTCTACGCTTCCGTGAAGGAAGGATTAAGGAGTCCCATAAACATGAGGAAGGTGCCCAGACAGTTCCATTACAACGGGGTGACAAGGAGAACCTGGTGGTACAGGGTTATGGAAGCACAGAGGCCGGCACTCCACGAAGGGCATATGCCCCCCAGCCTGGCTGCCCCCACCGGCCCCACTGCCCTGCCACCTGCTCTGGGGTGCTCCCGTCGTCCGCGTAGATCCGGGGGTCAGCTCCCAACTTCAACAGAACCTCCACAGCCGCCAGGTGGCCCCCAAAGGCCGCTCGGTACAGTGGGGTCCGGCCAAAAGCACCCTGCAGGAGGGACACCTCAGCAGGAGCCCCCCCCCAAAGCCTCCGCCGCCCAGGGACGCCGTCACCCACTTTGCTATTGGGGTTGGCGCCCTGCTCCGCCAGCATCTGGATGGTCTGCGGCTGCCCACCCGCGGCCGCCTCCGACAGCGGCGTGTTCCCGCTGCTGTCCTCGGACTCCACCAGGTCCATGCGCCTCTGCAGCCGCCGCGCCTGGCCGCCTTCGTCGTGGCCCACGCCCTCGCGCGTCAGCAGGTCCTCCGCCTCCGTGCAGGCCGACCGACGGTCAGCAACCGGTCCGCGGGGGTCCCCCACTCCCCTGGATCCCACACCTGCCACCCCACCAGGACCCTGCGACCCCCGCCCCCTCCTGCCGCCTCACCGACCTCCTTTAGCACGGCCTGGATGTCGGCCACGTTGCCGTCGAAGGCCGCCTCCAGCAGGCGATGGCGACGCTGCAGCTCCTCCCGGCGTCTGCGCTGCGCCGCCTCCTCTTCCTCGCGCTGCTGCCGAGCCGCCTCCTGTTCCCGGCGCACCAGGGCCAGGAAGGCCTGCGAGGGCAGGGGTCTGGGAGCCGGCCGACCCGACCCGACCCACAGCCCAGGCCGCCCACCCGAGGTCCACTTTCACCTCTCCATGGGTTCTGTCAGCCTCCCAGCCCTGAGATCTCTGTGGCCTGGTCCCAAGGCCATTGCCCTCCAGCCCCAAAGTCTCTGTCCCTCAGTCTTGAGGCCACGTCCCCAGCCCCCAGCTCACCACCCTCCAAGGCCCCAAGGTCTGTGCACCCCCAGCCTCAAGGTGTTTGTTCCCTAGCCTGAGGTCAGGAACTTCGCCCACCCTCAGGTCATGGCCTCTCCACTCCCACCCCAATTTCGGGTCTCCTCCACTGAGCCTCACCTCTGTCTGCAGCTTCTCCATCTCCTCCAGGTATTCCTGCTTCTCCCACTGGCGGCGTGCCAGCTCGCGCCTCGCCAGGAGCCCCCGGAAGGCGCACTGGATGGACGTGGCCGCGCGGTCCTCGGTGGTGGGCTCTGAGGTGGAGGTGGGGAGGCTTCCTGAGGCAGCCAGTCGCCCCTCAAACCACCATTCATGAGTGTCCACGCTGAGATAGGCCCTCCCCACACCAACAAAAGGACCAAGAATGTCCATAAAACCCACAAACGAACGCTTGCTTACCAAGGGCAGAGACAGAGGGTCCAGGTCTCATAGCAAATCTATGCGCCCACCCTGACACAGCTGGACCCCAAAGGCCCAATGAAGGCCTTGGTGGGGACTCCAGGGAGAGATGCACATAATGGCCCAGAGTAAGTGGGGAAGCCACATAGACCCACAAGGCCCCCTCCCAGAAGGGCGCTCTGTGTCTAGCTCCAGGTCATCCAGAGGCCCAACCTAGGAGAAGGTGGCACGCACAGCCCCCCTGAGGGCTAGGAAGAGGGTCTCCGTCGACTTGGCCACCCATGCTGGTCTCAGGGGCTGAGCAGGAGTCCAGTCGTTCAGTCTGCAGAGGACATGCAGAGGTTCTGGCAGCAGCCATGCCAGCCAGTCAGGCACACCTCACAACCTCCTGAGGCCTCAGTGTCCCTCCATCTACAAAGGGGCAGTTCTGGGCACTTTGAACAGTCCGGTAACAGCCCTTGTAACTCACAGCTCAACAGCTCAGAGAAGAGGAGAGAGCTAGCCCGAGCTGGCCACCTTCCTCAGGCTCACACACACACACACACACACACACACACACACACGTTGTGGGGGACAACTGGCAGCTAAGGAACAGTGAGGAGTCCACGTGACAAGAAGGCATGCAGTCCAGCCAGGTCTCCACAAGCACACGAAGCCATGGATGGACTTGATAAAAGCCTAAGTCCAGTGAAACGAGATGGACAAGATAACAGAACGTGGTAAAGAAGGGGGTCATCAAAGACAAGGAGACCCAGTTCAAACCAACTCAGTGCTACAGACCCACCCAATCAACAAAGCAGGCGCAGCAAAGCCAGCCGGGGTAGTGTTCACGACAGGGAAGATGCAGATTTGTGATAACCACAGGTAAGACGCAACACCTGAGCGTGAAAGCAGGCAGAGACACGAAGGTAGGACAAAGCCAACATAGAACCACATAGGGTTACCAGCAGTGGAATGAGTGTCCACTCTAGGGGCAGTGGGCTAGGATAATGACGGGGGAATGGTTTGGAAGGGATAGGGATACTGGGTGCACAACAGAGGGACTTAAATGCCTCTCAACTGGACATGGAGAAATGGTTGGGATGTAGATGGGAGACCTGTGGGTTAATGCATCCGTCTGCTTGTCGGCACTTAACAACAACACCTTTTGTTATATATATTTTCACCACCACAACATTTATAAAAAGTGTTTTAAATGACTAATTAGTGTCCCAAGGAGCTCTGGTTAGCATAGTGGGTATGAGCGTCAGGCTGCTAACTTAAAAGGTTAGCTGTTCGAAACTACCAGCCATTCAACCCGAGAAAGATGAGGCTTTGGAAACCCTACACAGGGTCACTATGAGTCGGAAGCGACTCCAACAGCACATTACCACCACCAATTAGTGTCCCTGGGGTACAGAGATTCTGACAATGGGTAAGGGGGAGCAACTTAGAGATAAAATACAGAAATCTTTCCTGAAATGGAGGCATGGGGCAATGAGCCCTTGTCTGGATTCTTTGAAAAAACAACTTGATAAGTTTTCCCCTTCAACCCTGCAGAGTTACTTTTGCCCTCATTTTCTAATACCCAGGGTGTGATACTTTTGTCTAGATTGATTGACATTTCTTGAGTAAACTGTTAACAAAATGTGTTTTGAGACTCTGTCAGTCTGTCTGTCTGGTCTTGGGCTGGGCTTGCCCCGTGAATGGCATACACCTTGCAGGGATTAGTCAAATTGGACCATGCAAATGAAGTGTCTTTAGTCTGCTATGCAAATGAAGTATCTGTGGCCTGTTGCGAGGAGAGCTTGGCCTTGAAATTGACCAGGAGTTCATGCATATGTGCAGCCAGACCCACAGAAGCAGGAAGGAGAGAAGATGCAGAGAGAAAGGAGGCAAGGAACCTCTTCAGAAGTCGATGAGTCGATGACGACAGAAGTCTGGCTCAAGAGAAGGCCTGTCCTCTGGGGGCCTAGAGGTTGCTGCACGTCTGAGAGGGGCATTTGTGGCAGAGAAAAGGGCCTGTTTGGTTGCAAGGCCAAGGGAAGCTGAGAGAGGTCCTACGCTAAGAAGGGAGACTTCACCTACATACGTCCTGATCCTGATCCTGAGCTGGACTACTTAACCAAACCAGTAAAACTCTAAGTGTAGTCTGCGTGACTATTGCACTGCGTCATCAAACCCACAGACAAGTGGAGAGTGAGGACCGTGGGAGGGACAGCTGGCATCAGAATTGGTAACAAGGTTGGAAAGAGGGCTGATCTTGACCTGCATGATCCCTCCTGAAGCCAGGCGGGCTCTGATGCTACTAGCGAGTGCTACCATTGTTTCACAGGAGTTTGAAGTGAACCTTGAGACAAAAAGGACAAGAAATACACCAGGGTGTACATCGAAAACAAAATAACAGGGAATAGAAGCAAATACTGTATAGTGGTGATGAATAGAGGGGATTGTAATCATTGCAATGATACGAAATACAATAGGATGAGTGCAAAACTGATGTTCTCCCATGTAGACTATCACTCAATGTAAAATAAAAACAAACAAACAAAAAAAGATCACATGCAGGAGATTTGCCCAGTGTCGTTTGATGTCTGGACTCTTACTTTCATGGATATTGATTGCAGGTCCAAATAAAATGAAACACTAGGCAACTTTAAAAAAGAAATACACCAGGAAAATTAGGACACGAAACAACTAGCATTAAGCCAATCCTCGTCATGTTGTTGAACCTCAAAAAAGCTATTAGACACCAGTATGGATTGGACTGCGTCCCCCCAAAGTATGTGTCAACTTGCCTGGATCATGTGGCTTGGCAGTTGTGTAATAATGTAGTCATTCCTCATCATGCTATCAGCCAATCAGCTGTAAGTGAATGGGGGTGGGATGCAACACCCTGAGTCAGGCCCCAGCCCAGATCTGAGGTAAGGGGAATTTCCCTGGGGTGTGGCTTGCACCACCTCACAAGAGAGAAAAGGAGAGAGACACCTGACTACTGCCAAGAAAGAAGGGTGGGGACAGAGCCTGGCGTGGTCTGAGAGGACCTCCGGAGCTGAAGGAGACAAGGCCTTTCCTCCCCTAGAGCTGACAGAGAGAGCCTTCCCTTAGAACTCGGAACTCACGCTTCGAACCTCTGAAGCTGTAAAAGAATACTCTTCTGTTTGTTACAGCTATCCGCTGGTGATCTTTCTGTTAAAACAGCACTAGATAACTAAGCCAGAATCCAAGTAGAAAAAGTAAATTACCTACCAGCAAAAACAAAACAAACCCGGGCATGTTGTAAGACGTTACAGCAGCAAACCCGTGCCAACAAAGTTCTGAGGGGGACTATGGAGCTCAAAAAGTGGTGATGGGCAGATCTGCTTCCAGCTATGGCAGTCAGAGGCTGAGAGTCAACCCAACCTTCCCAATGAGAGAAGAAAAAATATACAGAGGAAAGCTAGTTCTAAAACACGGGTCTGAAGGCTTCGGAAAGCTATGCAGGAGAGAAGGACAGTGGGGCCAAGAAGAGGGAACTGTGCTGTTACGGGTGAATTGTGTCTACCAGAAGTTACACTGAAACCCTACTCTTGTGCCCAGAAATGTGACCCTGCTTGGAGAGAAAAGGTCTGCAGTGCCGTGTTACGAGGTCATGCCTGAGCAGGGTAGGTCGGAAGCCCAATCCGGTCTGGGTGGGGGTTTCTAAGAAGAGCAGAGCAGACACAGAGACACACACAGGAGAGACCACATATGAGGAAACTTCTGTCAACAAGCTATGCTGACGGGAACCAATGGTCTGATCTGGACACTAGTCTCTGGCGCTCTGAGGCCCTAGGCCAGCACTGGGCAACTAAAACAGTGGGTTTTGCCTAGAGTTGGTCGCCAATTTTGAGAGCAAAATTATTGGCTAAGCAACTGAGTAGGTAGGGCTCCTGCAGATCACAGAAGAAAAGGTACCAACACTGAAATCCACAGCGTAGGTGAACGTCTTCGTCCTCCAGGGTTGCTAAACAGTAGTGCCAGAAGTGGGGGACTTTGAGAAACTCACTCTCAGTTTAGGGTGCTAGCAGTCTGAATTCGGGGAAGGGCCTTCTGTTCCTTGGAGAGCTCTGTGTGTCTTGGCACCACTCCACCACTGGGCTCGGCCACTCACTGCAGGGACCCTGAGACCACTCCTGGTTCTTCTTTAGCGATAATAAGCTACTTCTCCTTTTAGTTCTTGTAAGAGTTCTGGTGTTGTGCTGTAGGATGAGCACTGAACTGCTAACCACAAGGTCAATGGTTCAAACCCACCAGCCAGCTGCTCCTCAGAAACCCTATATAGAATCACTATAAGTCGGAACCAACTTGACGGCACTTAACAACAACTTACATTAAATAGTATTCACTACTTATCTAAAGGAGCTCTGGTAGCGTAGTGGTTACGAATCGGGCTGCGAACCTTAAGGCCAACAGTTCGAAACTACCAGCTGCTCCGCGGGAGAAAGATGAGGCGTTCTGCTCCCGTAAAGATTTACAGCCTCGGAAACCCTGTACAGGGTCGCTATGGGTCAGAACCGACTCGACGGCACTTAACAACAACAACAACTTATCTAAAATTCCAATTATGTGGCTGTTCATTTTTCTGGCAGCCCTATTTGGGTGGGAATCCTAAATGACTACATCCTTCAAGAAAGAAAGCATTCTTCATTGAACTGATGCCCAGCCTCAAATCATTTCAATCCTTGATTGGGTGATTTAGACTAGGACTGTCTCTAACCTAGCTGCCTGCCAGAAACGAATTGACTATTCCCTGGAGGGTGATGATGTTGTCCAGATCCCAAGCATACTTTCCACATTTTCATATGTAATGTGCAGTCCCCAAAGAACAATTACACAAATGGAGAAACCTGAGAAA